AGGAAAGGGAGGGAGCGGGTCGGCGCGGCAAGCCCGGCGAGCCTCGCCGCGCGCGCTTGCTGAAATGACGTCGCGCTTCTTGCTGCGCCGCGCGGGGCAGAGGCGACGCCGGCTCGAAGGAGTCCCCCCCTCCGGGAGAGAGAATATCCCTCGCGCTGCGCCGGTGCCCCTTTCCACGTCCTCGGCGACACTGAGGCTGCTCTGGCGTCTTGCCCCCGGGCGAGCGGGAGCGTGGCTGGGAATTGCTGGACGTACGACAGTGGCACATTCACGCAGTCGCCTGGCACGGAAAACCGCGATAGAGCCCTCCGCTGCCCAGAAACAGCGCCGCAGTCAGAACGCTGCACACGCCTCGCCCCGATGAAAGCTGCTGACTCGGTCCCTTCCTATTTCTTTCCTTTTCGGGGAACCCCGCTCTGAAATTGTTGGTGCGCACTCGTAGGCGCCCGAGGGCTCTTCAGTCAAGCGTCTGGAGAGGTGGTAGCAGATGCTGCTGAAAAGTGCACATGCATATAAATGCCCAGAGCAACACACGAGACCAGCGTGCCGTTTTCTCCATCCTATCCCAAGAGTGCGAATTGTCGAACATTTTGAATGGCACAAGCCAGAGCCAGCCGGTGCTCAACAATAACAAGCAGGATTTCAATTCACAGAATCGAATGCGCGATAAATGCGTTACTCTTGAAGTTTCCCTAAAACATTTTTTTAAAAGAAAACAGTAGTAGCGATGTTGGCCATAAGAAATATGTATAGAGGCAATGCCCATATTAGATCAACTGCAATTTTTCAAATTTGTCATAATTGCCTAAGTTTCAAAAGTTCTTCATCAGGCAAGAAGGTTGCAGGGAGGGGAAGGGGAAGGGGGGAGACATGGAGCACTGTGGGGCTTCCAAATACTGTATGAGGATTGGGTCTTATCAGATGCACAGTGGCATCAGCCATGACAGAAGCTCTCCCAGAGCTTTCTGGGGAGACAAAGGAAGCTTTTATTTTATTTATTATTTTAGAGATACAAATTATAGCTGTTCAAATCAAAACTATGTCCATCCTGTGGGAGTTCATCCTTTGGCTGAAGGAAAACAGAGACAAATCAACTAGGCTATCCTTTTCTTAGTAAAGCTAGATATAATTTAGACAATGTACTAGGAAACCAAAATCAAAGCTAAACTGGGTAGGACGTTACAGTCGTGGGAGGGAAGGGACCTCAAGTGATAGTTCCAGAAGGTGATCTAATGTCCTCTTTTTATGTAGCATTGCACTGAAGAACAGGTGGATCTGTTCTTGTAATTGTAGCCTTACTAGAGATATAGAAAGCAAGGTAGGAGTAGAATGCAGAGCTTTCCAACCCCTTTAACCATCAGCAGCCATCAAAGCCATTTATATTTTATTCTATATGTGAGAGATGGATAAAATATGTTATTATTGACAAAGAAATAGTAACTTGAGCATGCT